TATTATTGTTATAATGAAAAGACTGAGACCGAGGTATTGCTAACGTTAATCAAAAACAAAAATCATCAATAAATAGTAATAACTTCTTTATCCCATTCAACACTCTCTTCCCTGCGCTGACGGTTAGCACTCTCTGGACTACGCGTACGACTTTGTGGTAGCGATGAACAAACGGCAGCAAAACTACTTCGCTTACGTGTCCATCAGTGAGATGACACACGACTGGATTAATGCCGGCCATTATCTGGATGTGCCCTACCATTCACTGTTAGAGAGGCTCTTCAATGAACAGCTATTGGACAACACAGTAGTGGTATTCTTCTCAGACCACGGCTTCCGTTACGGACAGTTACGGCGGACACACGTCGGAGAACTCGAGAATCGGTTGCCCTTTATGTTCATACATACTTCAATGAACAGCTATTGGACAACACAGTAGTGGTATTCTTCTCAGACCACGGCTTCCGTTACGGACAGTTACGGCGGACACACGTCGGAGAACTCGAGAATCGGTTGCCCTTTATGTTCATACATATGCCGCAGACTCTGGTCGACCGGCACTCTCACGATTGGGTGCCGACACTGGCCACCAATCAGCACCGGCTCACCACACCTTATGACATACACGCCACTCTCACTCATCTAGTTAATGGTAAGAGTATACATGCATTAATAGCATTAATAATGAGTAAATTACTAACAAAATTACAATATAAAATACTATCGATAACAGGTAAACCGGACCCACAACTACCCCACGGTCTCTCTCTATTCACACCTATAAGCGAGAACCGAGAGTGCAGTGCAGCCGCTATACCGGACATGTTTTGCTCGTGTTTCGCTGATAATGTGGTCACAGATTACCGTCCCTTTTACATGTCGGGCATAATCGGGCAAATTGTGAATAAAATTAACTCATTGACCGGTAGTGTGCGTGAAATGTGCGCCAAATACGAGTATGAGTCCATCGCTCGGGTATATCAACGCGAAAACCCCCGTAAGGACAGTGAGTACTCATTGGGAAACACAACCTATCATATCGTACAGATGTTTATGAATCCCGGGAAAGCATTGTTTGAGACTGTAATCAAGGGAGTGAACGGCACGGCAGCCAATATGACAATAGTGGGCGAGATTTCACGCATTAACCGATACGGCAATCAATCGCATTGCATCAACGATAAGATACTTAAAAATTATTGCTTTTGTAAATGACACACATATTTAGTATAGAATTTTTATTGTTTATTTAATTAATTTTATTTATTAACTAATGTAAATATTATTTGATTTGATTAATTTTATATTTTAAAACCTCTAAAACCAATGTTAACTAAATAATTTAAATACTTTTTATAGTGATTTATAAACTTTATCCAATAGGTATTTTATAGATTATGTTAAAATTACCACAACAGAAGTTGTAACTAATTAATAATTAGTAATTATTGTCTAAAACATTCAACTTATAGATTAAAAATTTATTGTTAAACTTTAATAAATTTCTTTAATTACATTTAATTATCAATTCAATTCAATAAGAATTTGTGTTTCAAAATAATTAAGATGTCTTATAATCTGATTGCAGATATAACATACACATGTGAATATTTGTTATATCCTTGACAGTAACCTGGATCACACCTGGTAACAAAGTACATTGTTCGCACACTTAATCATTTAACAAATGTACTGTATTACGGATATCAACTGTTCTAGTTAACTATGATGTAGGTTAGTATAACAATTATTACCTATTTGCATCTTATTAAATTTAAAACATGTACATCAGTCTATTGTTGCTAACATTTATTGCTTTTGGTATTTATTATAATTGCATAAAATTAACATAAATTTATTATACAATTAAACAATTTATTAATGAATTGACGCCCAAAATAATTAGCTAATTGTCGAGAACCGTGTGTTCATCGGGACTACGGCTACGGGTCTACAGTTTGTGTGTGTAATGAACAACATTGCGACGATTTAGAGCCGATCGAGAAGACAGCCGCCGGAGTGGTCACTGTTTACGAGACCAGTAAAAGTGGTCATCGGTTCGACAAAACGGTACTCAATGTCGGTTCAAACCGGGGCCGCAAAGCAACCAAATCGCAGACAATAACAATAGATCGCAGCAAAGGTCTGTATCAGCGGATAGTGGGCTTCGGCGGTGCGTTCACCGACTCGGCCGGACTCAACATCAAGAGTTTGCCGGAAACGCTGCAAAACCGGATAATTGACGATTATTTTGCCGAAACTGGTGTTGAGTACACTTTGGGACGGATACCGATCGGCGGATCAGACTTTTCCACCCGTGCCTACAGTTATGACGACAACTCTACCGATGATTTCCAATTCAAACGCTGGGCCCTCGCAGACGAAGACTTCAAGTATAAGGTATTTTATCGAGTGGTTGGTTAATACAGTTAATCATTTTATATTCGGTATAGATCCCATTGCTTAAGAAAGCTCAAGAAGTGAGCAAACATGGTCTAAAATACATGGCCAGCCCGTGGTCACCGCCCGCGTGGATGAAGACTAACCACAAACTAAACAATGGAGGCTTTCTGGTGGGCGAACCGGGAGGCAAATACTATAAGGCATACGCGCAATACCTTATTAAGTAGAGTTAATTACTTTAATATTTTAAAATTTAATCATTTGAGTTCTACAGTATATAAATTTTAAAGCCGCATTCTTTATGAATCATAAATTATGATACTATATAGCAATAGTAAACTTACTTTAGGTTATGTGCGATATCCCTCTAATAGTCCGGTGCCTGTGATTTGTGGTCTGATTGACGACAATTTGGTACATTATTAATGATGCAATTAAATGCAACGTCAAAACATGTGGTCGAATAAGAGACCTAGCACTAGTTACTGCATATAAAGTAATAGCAATTAATTTAATCCATTAATCACTGATAACACATAGAAATGAATGTTAGGTTTTATTATGATTATCACATTCATTAACTACTACTAGGCTAAAGATGTTTTGACATTTAAAATTGACAAATATTGAAAATAAAAATTGTCATAAATATTACATTTAATGGGTATATAAAAACACATTTAATGTTTTGTGACAGGTTTCTGGATGCATACAAAGCTAATGGCGTGTCTCTATGGGGTCTAACCATTGATAACGAGCCCATCTCCGGCTTTATGCCCACCTATGCGTGGAATAGTCTGGGGTTTACACCGGAAACGCAGCGCGATTTCCTTAAGCTAGATCTGGGGCCCGCACTCCTGGCGGCCGATTATGGACCCAACACTACGCGAGTGATGATATGCGACGATCAGCGGGCGTTCATCGACTCGTGGGCTAACACTATATACGCCGATCGGGAGGCGTCCAAATACGTGGCCGGACTCGCCTTTCACTGGTATACCAACACTGAGGCAAACATTGACAAATTGGACATAGCTCACTTGGCTGACCCTGATAAATTTCTTATCAACACCGAGGCCTGCGAGGAGTGGAAAGATCAGTCAAAACACGTACAACTGGGCAATTGGGCCACATTTGAGAGATACGCCAACGATATCATTATAGTTACTAACTGTTACTAACTCTTAATCTCTTCACATCTCTGTTGTGTTTTAATTAACTTTATTGTTATTTTGAAAAGGATTTAAACCACTGGACATCGGGTTGGGTGGATTGGAATTTGGCACTCGATGAAACAGGTGGCCCCAATTGGGCCAAAAACATGGTCGACGCGCCGGTTATAGTGAACGCCACGGCTCGGGAGTACTATAAACAGCCCATATTTTACGCGATGGGTCATTTTAGTAAATTCCTGCCGCCCGGTGCCCAACGTGTGTATCAAAGCACTGATAAGTCGGTGGTTGGCCTCCAGACGACCACTTTTATCCGCCCCGACGGCGGAACTGCAGTACTGGCCCTCAATATGGGTGACGAACCCATAGATATCACTATCAATGATAATGGATTGAAGCGAAATGTGTCCCATATATTGGCCGCCCGTTCAATGCAAACATATCTCTATTATTGATTATACCATTAAATTAATTCACAAATAAATTAAATGTTGTATTTGTAATCCAATTAATTTTAAACTTAAATTATTTTTTATGATAATCTAAGAATATTTCAAATAATTAATAAATAGTATTCAAATAAATTAAATTAAATTTTTATTATCATCATTAAATTCGATGTTTACAATTTAGCACACAATTTCACGTATATATCTGTTAAATATATTAATAAATATTATTTAATATATAATTCATTTATAAATACACTAGAATTCAATTGCTTTTAACTTATGATCAAATGATTTTTACGAACGCTCGCCGACGGTCAAATCATTTTTACGTTCAGTCAATTCATTATTACACATATAGCGTAACGCGTAGACACTGACTGTACAGTCTGTGCAATGACTGCATGCATTCCATACAACTCTGACTCATGTAATAATGAATTGACTGAACGTAAAAAT